CAGATCAACTTGGAAATTGTTCGGCCCACGGTTAGCAGAAGGCTTCAACATCAGCTGTGTCAACAAACGTGAATTACTTGCCGCCCCATCCATGAGTCCGGCGTTGAGAGAGAGGCTGTTACTCCACTCAAACCCAATATCCCTCCAGTTTGGAAGGCTCCTTCTCAGTGGAGCATCGATCTGGCTCCTGTTATACGTCATATCCCCTGCACTTTCTCCACAAAGAGCCTCCATTGTACCGCCCGATCCAGTAGCGTTGTAACGTGTGGAACAGGATGATGTCATGTGCGCTTCAAGCTTGCATAGCACAAATGTACCTGTAGCATCGTTGCCATCATCCGATTCTCCGCCTTGTCCCAAGAGATAGATAGACGGCCGTCCCCACAAGTGACTCGTATGATTCATGATGGTGTTGAAGGGCTTGGGATACTTGGCGAATACTGGTGGGCTGTCGATGCCTGATCCACTTTTCCAACCAAATATCGTGTCCACGACAGTCTCGTTCACAGACGTTGCTTTGTTTGACAGGTCTCGCCAGGTGTTGATATTCACATCGTCGTCGTTCCACGCATCGTAGACTATTGGCCTAAGTTCTCCCTCATTCATGTTGACACACAAAATGTTCATGACAGGGGAAGGGACAGAGGCTCGAAGCGAGTAGGTGCCCTCGGAATTTAGCTCTTCTGGTTGGGGAATACCACTCTGTTGATCACGAGCGGCTGCGAACACTCCAGCATGAGGCATCGCGAGCGAAACGTTGTTGACTGCTCGCCCAAATTTTCTGGAGACCTCCGAAGTGTTGGAAATGTCAACCCATTGCGCAGTGACGGTCGTGTTCTCGTGAAGGAGTCCGAATCCTGGGGGTCTCTTGTGCTGGTCTGCGGTCCCGTTTCCAAAGTCGTTGGCTAAAATGTCCCATTCAGCCAAGTATTTCTGGTAGTTTAGGTACCCAAGACCTTTGGAGTAATGGCTGAACTGATGTGCCGTCAGCCGAGTAGAAGTCACTTGTTCGACAAAGTATACATGCCTAATGCGGTAGCTGCTGAAGAGTAAAGGGTAGCCAGTACAGCGCTCAACAAGCTAAAGATGGCGAGTAAGGAGAGACCTGCGTATCTGGCAGATACAGGATGTGAAATCAGCGTGCCAGGCTGGACGACCCACCTCCACATACTAAGTTCGGATAGTGTCACACCACGACCACCGTCCTTCATGAAGGCTCTGCGACTCTAGGCCTGCCCAAGAAAAGCCACGAAAGAGGTGACGAAAGACAATTCGATGAGCTTTGCCATGACGGCAGTCAGAAGTTTTGCGGCGGCTGGGGTCAAGGGGCCTTGGCTGGTGATGCGTCGGCCATAATGAGGTGCAAGTATCGCTAGCACCAAAAAGAGGCCCGAGAAGATGCAAGAGAAGAGGCAGATGATGACGGTAGATATGTTGAGCCAGGTGAAGCGAGAGTTGTAAAAGTCGCGGTCGGTAGGACATTCGTGGGTAGGATGAAAGTCGCCCGCATAGGCAGATTTGAGAGACGGCGGGCCCGAAGCCCTTAACCTCGTCGTGTCCGCGACATGGGCGTACTCTACATATTCGTCTATGGTGGCGGTGCTCTGTCCTGGATGCTTCGGCAGACCGCGACGGAATTCATCGAATGTGCCGATCTGCGGACTGGATCGCTCTCGTCGCAGATCAGGCGTGGTGTCGGCAGAGCCCGCGACAAATCCGCCAGAGGTTCCGAGGAGTCTGGCGGAGACAGCGCGCCAGGACTCCCAACGGCTCGTCTCGAGATTGCCTGTATGCTGACGCGCTTGGCCAACCGTGGACTCGGACTCGGACTCGTGGTCCCAGAGATGCCGAGGCCGCTGCGGCCCCGCCGGTGGGAGCTCTCGACGACATCTTGTCCGTCATCGAGGTCGTGCCCAAGGGGCGTGTCCACGGCGGTCCAATCGCTCTGGAAGCTTGTCCACGGCGGGCTGGCTGGCGGCGGCACGTGGGTCGGGCCGCGCGCGGGGACCAGGGGCGCGTTTGCTGGAGGAGACGAGTCGTCGATCAAGGCACGGTGGGCGGCCATTACACGGTCACGGTCACGGTCACGGTCACGGTCACGGATGGACTGCAAAGCAAGGCAGAGCACTAGGCCATCTCACGAAGAGGGGAGAGAGAGGGGACACGGCCCGAAATATAACGCTGGGGGCGCACTAGAATTTCAGCTTGCGCCCTCGTCGTGCCCAGGCATCCCATCTCATCACGTTGGTGGCGCAGCCTCACACACACATACACACACACAATGCCTGCATCCACGACCTATCCAATCCTCTTCACATGGTCGTCGACCAAGCACTTCCAGTCTGCGCTCCCGTAGTAGATGGTGTGTCCGTCATTGTGCGTCTGCTGTCCAGTGCTTTGGATCACGTCCCCAAGCTGCCAAAAGAGATCGCCAGCCATGCCAGCGTCCTTGAGGCCCAGGCTGGTCTTTTGCCAGCCTGACTCTACTGGACAGTGGTCGGCCGCTTGCGTGACGCCGTACTCTTCCAAGAGACATGGCTTCTTCAGCTGCGCACATATCTTTGCGTGAGATTCGATCCATCCATTGCCCCACGCATTCGTCACGCCCCACGCATCAGGGTACAAGTGCAAGGTGCCAAAGGAGATGTTGGGCAGGGCAAGATTGGCCGCCCAGTCGATGCCTTCCGAGAACTGGTATGGGTACGATCCATCTCCCGCGAGCCCGAAGCCTTCGTCACCCACGGCGATCTGAGCACATACGTCAATACCCCAACAATACACAGAAGAAGCACAAGCACGCACCATGTGATCGGAATCCAGCGAGCGAACAAAGTCGGATGTCTTGCGAATCCAATTTGTAAGTACCAAAGTCTGGCAGCTCTTGCATCGAGGCTCATTGGCCAGCTCCCACGCAAAAATTGCGTTCGAGTTTCGATAGCGCGCTACGACGGCTTTGATGTACGTCTGGTACAGTGTTTGACACTTGGCTGTCGTGTACCTGGTCGTCGAAACATGTCCTTAGCATTCACCATGTTGTGTGATTTTCAATCGCACCACTCACCATTGCTCGTTGCTGCTAACACCACATGCAGAAAAGTACGCTGCCATGCCGCCGTAGTCTGTCCAATAGTTTACGAAATCTGGTCATAGAATACCATTATCAGCCAAGAGCTCAGAAGGAACGTGTCTGCGTGCATAGCCGGGAGCACCACTTCAATTCTCTTTCTTTACTAGTATCCCCGCAAACATAATTACATGAACGGTCAAGTGAGAGAAGCTTACTTTGCAAAAGTCAGCCATTGTTACGAGCTTTATCACTACGGTAGCTACCTTATGATAAGTTTGATATTGTGCTTCTCGGCCGCTTTGACCACAGCATCGAGACGCTGAAGACCATTGGCACCGGTATTGATGGTTGCAGAAGACCCAGAGAACGCCTGGAAGTACACTGTGCCCGAGCCAGGTACCGACTTGACATCGTTGAAGCCCCAGATGCGTAAGATCTTTTGACCAGATGTGGCCAGGTGACCCATTATAACATCGACATCGTTGTCATTGGTTAGGAACGGCATCCAGTAGCCTTGGGAATCAGTGTTCAGTCATATGGCCTGGTCGGATGCGTCACCTACTGTTTGTGCCCGCGTAATCTGGAGCCTTGTGTCAGCTATGACCGAAGCCAATGATCATCATCTCTTACATTTGGCCACGCCATCAATGTTGAACTTGAGCCCATCGGTCTTTGCGATTGATGCTCTCGAGGAAATATCGACTGCTGCTGGTAGTGCCAACGCAGCAGTGATGAGAGAGACAAGTACGCAAAATCTCATGGTGCACGCTTTGCTCGGTTACTCATCAATGAACCAGGACGCATATAATCACCTTATATAGGCATAATTCCTGATGAAGAGCACGCACCACTCTCTAGGGGCATACGGAATTCATGTTCCGTTCAGATTGGCCCTCGTGCCATGTAGGTTACTAAAGATCTACCTAGGTAAGGGTTGTATAGTGGCCAAGAGGCATACTAGCATATTACTGGCGCACAGATGGGGGCTACTGTATCACATTCAATCGCCATGTTCGGACCGACCGGAGCGGAGTATCCGCGCCCGTTCTGCATGCACTACATACATAGGAAGACAGTTAGAGTCGTACACGGTAGAGATTATCACCCAGTTAGTACAGGGTATTTGTACGTCGGTTCGCACCCCTACTAGTTGGCGATACCAGATATTGTACAAATCTCTGCTCATCTCTAACGCAATTAGAGCAAGTCTATACCTAGTGTAGCAGTGAACTTGAACCCTAGAATATATTGCCAAATCAGCGCTGCCACCGTATATTATTCGGGCGCTACAGGGGTGCGAACCGACGTGCAAATAAATACCCTGTAAGTAGTTTTCTCTGTCTCGCCGCTTGGTTCCACGAATTCCTACCCTCGTGTGTCTTCCTTTATATGACGACGAGCTGCAATAACTTTCATCATAGCATTCATTGGACATCATTCATTAGTTCTTCCGCAAGGCTACGTCTCGCATGCTCCGCGGTCGACCCTCCAGCTGTCACCCAGATATCAGTCCGATGGTGTAGAGCAACGCTGCTTGCGCATGCAGTGATGTGGGCTGTCGGGGCTGTTGCGTAGGTAATATCAATTTCACCAGTCAACTATGCGACTCTGTAGCTTCCATTAGATGCGCCTTTGACCAAGTCTTCGGTTGGATCACTTTGTCTCTTTGAATCTTTTAGTATGCATGGTTCGATTGTGCACTGCAAGCCCCTTAAGACTGAAAGCCTATCTATATCTAGCCAATCAGGTGCCACAATTGCATAGAAGAAGAAGAAGGGCTGTCTACCTGAGTGGAACCCATCCACGAGGAATAATCTTGACACAGTTTCGTTACAGACGAATCTGATCTCGCCTTGAGGGCTTTCTTTCGGCAGAGGCGCAAAAAAAAAGGGGGGGGGGGGATCTAACTCCCAAGTGGAACCAGCTCCAGAATTGATTCAGGGGATGCTCGAAATCCCGACCTTCAGTGTGATAAACATTGGACAATGTTAGACTGACGTGATAACCAACTACACCACCGAACCTACTGAACCGATGACTAATATCGACACAGTATATTATATGTCACGATATTTCTCTAAGCGCATGCTTCAAGCAAAACAGCAGGTGGAAAGACTACAATGACAGGAAAATGTGGGTCTCCAAGTGCAATCTCGGCGAAAAAATAGCAACGCGCTTGACTTTCACAGGAGCGACCTAGTGATCTGTATACGGCTGAAAGAGTAACATGAACCCTACAGTCAAATTAGGCAAACAACCTGTTGTCGTCTAACTGCACACGTTAAAACAGTTCTCAGGCTCCAATGTGTGGCACACCAAACACTCCAAATTCCTGTCAATGTCTCGGCTCGGAATATTAGGATCTCAGCAAATTAACCTTGTACTTGGCTGCGAGGCGTAGAACTACGCATCTTTCGTGAGATGGAAGCCATATCCAGCCTGCTATCATTGGCCTTGACTCCCCTGAAGCCTAGTTATCTGTCGCCTCTTACCAGAAGCGGTAATTCTAACTTCAAGGCGTGGAACACGTCGCTAAAATCTCACGTCAGTCGACCAATTGTGATTGCATTCATGATAGCGTCCGTGCTAGTCCATGGGACGCTCAGGTCGGCGCATATATGATTTGATCGAAGCGAGACAGAGTATGCTCCATATTCACTTTGCATATTCACCACATTGACTCTAACACTCAGGTAAATATCTTGCTTCTTATCTAAACCTCATCACCACTGTTATGCCCTGTTTGGTCGTGCACTCTTCCCCCTACCAGCATGAATGCGTGTTACAACGACCTCGTCAATCCCGGGAACGTATGCTACTCTACAACCTGGGCAATCCTGTATCCAATTGAACGCCACAGCAAAATATTTGGCTATGTGCTTGCTCAAAGCAAACAAGTAGCCAAAACAATAGTAGAGTAATAAAAATGCAGTGCGTTACCATTCAAACACGAAAGTATGGTGAGCGTCCAGCAGCTCTTATCCAATTAAGTCAGAATATAAGTCTTGAACGTCCAAAATGTTTTGTACACGGGATGCATGCAAAGTCAAATGCTGGGATATACAAAGAACGCTGTAGATGTCGATGCAGTGATGATGGCCAATACGAGCGCTGAAATCGACTCTCGGAACGTCCTGGGCTGTTGCTTCGAATGAAGAGCCGGCGATCACCGATTCCATCTAATATCGGTGCGTAAATGAGTCGGAATTAAGGTGCTGAACAACGCCAGGCTTTGTCGCGCGGACCGTGTAAATGCTCATTGCATAGAATGCCCGCGATGAGGCACGAGAACGAAAGCGTCTATGATCAAGGGCTTTTGCGAAAGATCCGTATGGGTATTGTCGTGTGCCGTGACCACATGAAAAGGTCATTAGGCAAAAAAGAAACTAGAACCCGGGCCAGCGGTCCTTGCTGTGACGGAGGAAATAACAAATCATTCTTTGCAGTCATGCATAAACGAATTCCGTGGCCAGTCATATTTGGTTGATTTCCTGCCAAAGTCAGTCCGATCCATGGATGATGAGCTGTGCGACTTACCAGTCAGTGAAATTGGGATTCGCATATGGCTCCGGATGCTTCTCTATGTAGTCGGTAGTAGGATAACCCTCTGGGTCGCAAGTGACAATCTGATTATCTTCGGGTTGATAGATGCGGATGTAGTCGATGCGCATGTACGCAGGAAGATCCTTGGCAATCTCTTCGAGATCAATAGCCGCAAAGCTGTTGGACATGCCAAAATTGGCAATGACAGCCAAGGGTTCTTCTGGTATCACCCTGGTGCCGATGTTGCCATTGGGTCGAGTTGAAGGAGCCCGAAAGGTCCACGTCTTGTCGTCGCCGACATACCAAGTGATCCAGCCATCCTTGCCCGTCTTGTAATCGAATGCGTACTTCTGGTATTGTTTTCCGTTGTACCAGTCGGTGTTGAGATTGGTCAGACCAGATATAGCCTGCTGATAAACTCCTCCCTTGTAGGCATTCATCATGCTTATCGACTTGTCGTAGACCTCGACATAATCTGCTCTCGAGTCAGTCCGCCGTGACCATGTCTACCAAGAAAAGATACATACCATAGTCTGGCTGGTACCAAATATCAAACGGCGCAGCCTGAAAGGACTGCGATACTACGCCGACAGCATTGGTCTCTCCGGGCCCTAAGAAATGTACGGAGCCTTCCAAAGCATCAATCTCAGGCGCACTGCGGGATTTGCCAGGGCTCGGGTGATCTTCGCCTTTGCAGGTGCACGCGGGCAGCCTCATTCCAGGTAGGAAGCTGAGGCCATCGTATGAGCTTTGATTTGGCGTGATACCCATATCGCACTCATCATGATAGCTGTACGGCCAAAGTCCCTCGGTAGAACCGAGATAGCCAGGACGGGCAAGGTTGCCCATGGTCCAGAATCCGGGCCAGAACCCACTGACATCGCCTCGACCGGGCAAGGAAATGCTGGCCTCGACGTGCCCGCCTTTGTAACAAAGCTTGTTCCATGTTTGGACCATACCAGACCGGTAATCAAGACCGTGGTTTTTGAACAGGTCAAACTTGAAGTTGAGGGTGCCATTCTCGGTGAAAGCTGCGTCTGGGTCGTACCACTGCTCGAATTAGTAGAGCATCGAATGACGCTAGGAGTGATTACTTGCCTCTAGGTCCTGAGTTGCACCATACCAAATATCCACGGCCTGAAAGTATGCATCGTCGCCATCGTAGAAGGTGCGTCCATCAGTGTTGAACTCGTCGGAGAAGACGAGGACCTGCTTCGAGCCGTCGGCCGATGTCCGGGTCATGGCTTCCTTGGGCGTGTCTGGGTCGATGAGCCCCTGGCGCAGGTTGGTGAGTAGCGGCTCGTGCTCTTTGCCCTGTATACACATGGGATTGCCTGAGCATGGCGTCTTGACTGGCTTAGTCATCTTGTCAACAAAGGTTCTGTTGTTGAGCGGTCAGCATCGGCGAGCAAATAGAGCATAGGGAGACAAGACGTACAGCACGGGGTATCCGACAAACAAGGCAAGAAGGCCGAGAACCAGAAGTGCCAGGCCGCCGAGGTTGACGGCGCCTCTCCGTGTGAAGATGTCGCAGTCCCGCTTGTCCTTTTCATTGGGGTCTGGGTTGTGCAGGTAGTCGTCTTTTTCCACGTCTTCGGGAAACAGCAGCAGGCCCGACGAGGGCAGGATGTTGAACTTCTCCGAGACGGTCTGTGTGTTGAGGTCCTCTTCGCTGCCCGCCCGCGATGGTGCGCGCGAATCGTCAAAGGGCGAGGCAAAGGGGCCTCTCGAGTCGCGCGTCAGGTCGGAGCTCCAGCTCGAACGTCGGGACGACATGGCCGAGGGCGAGCGCAGGGGCGACTCGTCGCGGTACTGGCGGCTGGCACCGAGTTTCTTGGGCGGCAGCAGCAGCTCGGCAGACTCGGCGACGGCAGCATTGTTGTAGAAGACGGGTGCGGTGCCAGAGCGCAGGCCGGGGCTGGGTGCAGTGCCCGGGCGGATGGGCTGTGTGAGCGAGCGGGCCGAGTTGGTGCGCGCCGTGACGGGTCGCACGGCCGGCGAGGCGTTGTGGTTGTTGTTGTCGTCGGTCGTGGCCTCTTGGGTGCCCGAGTTGAGGCGGATGTGGGGAGGCCCGTATCCCCGTGGAGACAGTGGCGGCGTCATGGTCGAGGAGCCTGAGGGTGTCGAGGTGCCGGGCTGTGTGCTGTGTGCTGTGAAGACGCCAGGGCGGCGAGGATGGGCGGGCAACGAGTGTTGTGGCCGGCCGTGGCACGCAGTCGGCACGGGCAGGGCACTCAAGGGAGGCGGGCGACGTGCACGCGGGCTGCAGCTTGCGTGCGAGTGTCGGGGCAACGGGCGCTGAAATGCAGTCCGGAGAGGTCGCCTCGAGAGATGCGGGCAGAAGGAGGGCGGCGTGGTGCTCGCGGACAGAGGTGAAGGTCGCGGGCTGCTGGGGGGGGCAGGAGCAGGAGACAGCAGGAAAGAGGATAGAGGCGACGGACTACGGCCTCTCCTGGCTCGAACGGGGCTGCCCACGGCTGCCCAGGGTTGGCAGGGCCAGGGGGGGCCAGGCACAGGAACGCAAATGCGCAGTCGTCACTTCAGACTTGGCGCCTTGGAGCTTGGAGCTGCTGGGGGCGCTAGACGGCAGGGCTTGCACACGAGACGAGTGCGGACAAGGCTGGAGACAGGGAGTCTGTATGTATCTAGAGTGCAAACACGCAACGGCGGCATGCGTCGACGACTACTCTACAGTGTGCTCTGCGCTGGGTGGAGGGCAGTAGCCTTCAACGAGGACCAACTCGGAACATCTCGAAGCTCGCCCAAGGAGCGGCCAATAAGCCATTGGCAGGCGCTTGCATGCGGCGACGACGCTTACGCACCACCACGGGAGGCTTGCTAAATTTACCCACCACCACCCTCTCGAGTTCTCCCCTATGGTGGACCCTCCAAGATTGCACCCTGCACCCTTTATGCTCTCTCCATCTCCCTTTCTCTGATTGGTTGCCCAGAGAAAGCCCATCTTCCTGTCCATCACACTCGATCCTTGATCGTTTCGCCGCCGCACATAGCGCGGCGATCTTTGCACCCTTCTTGATCCTCCCGTTCACGCCGTTACTGAGCCTGGTCGTGGTGCATCTGCAGTCCACTGAACACAGGGTCCTGCAGGGCTGACCATCTTGCAACACTTGTAGGTGCACTCGCAATGCCAACTGAGAGCTGGGAACTTTGGAATAATATATCATCGGGTCACAAGATAGTCTAGCTTATGACTCCACACTCAAAGCCTTGAGCCCCACGAGTCGACCCTGATCAGAGTCGACCGAGACTACGTAGTACTCTGCCCTCGTTTCGCTCAGCTCCACGCGGAAGACTTTGACTTGGCCATCCCCTGCCTTCTTTACGGCATCCATCACAGACTTGTACTGACTTTCAAACAACTTCTGCTTGACTTCTTCTACCTTCTTCTCTCCACCCAAAAGGCTCTTCAGATCGTCTGTATCAATCAGCATACTTCTTCCAGGGCTCTCGTAGGCCATCT